ACTTGCCAATACAAAGTTCTTGCAGATGCGAAGGTGGTTATCCTCTCCAAGCTTGGAAATACTGGGTCAGAACCGGAATCGTAACCGGCAGCAACTACACCATGAAGGTAAAGAGTTTATTGAAAATTTGTGATGGCATCGGTCAATTCCATGAAAAAATACGAATGAATCTACTAATTATTGAAAAACTACCAAAGCAAAGTTCTCGAAATATTAACATTCAAGGATAATCTCTTTAAGCTTTGAGAGATTCCAGAAGTTTTTTCATTGCTACTGACCATAGAATCAAATTTTCATACGTGAAAAAACTGACTTTCAACATTAAATTTTTTCAAACTTTGACAAAATGCAGATTTTTTTGTTGAAGGCTGGTTGCAAGCCATATCCATTCGCCCCATGTGAACATCATGACAACGCCACTCGCTTCCAGGTATGTTTTCTAAACCCCTCATGATGTTATCCCGATAAAAAAAGTAACGATAGTGAATTTAGCCTTGCCCTGCTGACATTTACCCCACGAACAAGTGCGAGCACACATGCCAAGCTGGTTATCAAGTTAGCTACACCAACGATAAACATTTCGGTAAGTCAAAAATCATACCCCTTTTTCGGGAGCACCAGCTGGAAGAGATTAGATAAGAAGGGGTGCGGTAGTTGTCAAGGGTTAATAGAAGTGAAGCATAAAGATAAAAAAGCATTTTAGGATCTACCGCCTATGCCGTTTCGAAGAAGGTCGCGGACATTCAGAAAGAAATCATGACCAATGGACCAGTTGAGGTCTCGTTCACCGTATACGAAGACTTTGAGCACTATACTGGTGGCATTTATGTGGTAGGTAGACATGTCTTTTTATAAAGAAAAGTAGTTGATTCTAGATCGGCTATTTTCTAGCCATATTTCTTCCAAAAAAATTTTGCTTATTTTCAGCACACCGCCGGCAAAGAACTTGGAGGACATGCAGTCAAGATGATCGGGTGGGGAACTGAGAACGGTACACCATATTGGATCATTGCCAACTCATGGAACTCAGACTGGGGAGAGAATGGTATTTTTCGAATTTTTGAAGTTTTTAGTAAATAAGAATGCTAAGCCTTATCCTTCTAGGTTTCTTCCGCATCGTCCGCGGTTTGAACGAGTGCGGTATCGAGTCTGGAGTCGTAGCTGGAGAACCCAAACTCTAATTTTGAGTACCAGGCTCTTATGTATAGATATAAATAAAGATAGATGAACAAGACTTGCTACACATAAGGGAAAATCTTTATAAATAGATCACAGAGATAATCATTCGCATTGGCACTTGCATTGTAGATGAGCGAAGTCGATGTCAATCACAAGTAAATATATGTAAGACAAGAAAATAACTAATCAGAAATTCATAAATGAACAGCTTATCTTAGAATACGAGAGTTTCTAGACTTCTGAATGAACGCAGTATAGCGATAATT